TTTCTATTGCCCCAAGTGAATCACTTGGGGCGTTCTCTTCTTTTCGGAGGGCCTTAGAACCATCCCCCTCGGGCATGCCTGCCGACTGCTCATCTCGGCATGAGGCGTCCTCGGTCTCTATCAACTCGGGGACTTTGCCCGAGTCCTCTTCCGAGACCCTCATGGTTCGGGGCTGGATTTCTCCAACCTTCACCAACTTAGAGGCCTTTGGGGCCTCAGTGCTCCCCCTCACTCGAGCCACCAGCTAGGAGCCGTCGTCTTCATTTTCTTCTTCTTCATCTCTTAGCCGCTGAACTACCTCCGCAGGCACGACGGCGGTGTCTTTCTTCGGCTTACGAGCCTTACTTTTTTTGGGGCTTTGGGTCCTCAGAGGTCGAGACCCTTTTTCTCTTTTTATCGTTCGCCGGTTTTGAGGCCGAGTGCGGCACCTCTTCCTCTTCGGACGGGGGCCTCATGATAGCATTTTCTCCGAGGCATGTATGAAAGGAAATCAAGTAAGTATGGTAAGAAATATTTGAGAAAAGATCATCTAATACGTGAAAAGGGGCTTACCATGATTTTTGGCCTCCCATCAATCCCTTGCCAAATCGCGCCATGAGCGCTCAGCATACGAAGAGGTTGAAGCCAATTTTCAAACCCAACTCTCGAGGTTAGGAATTGCACCGAATATTCAAGAGATCGCTACATCATAGGAAAGGATATCGATGAGAAAAGCAAAGGAAACAAAACAATAAATGGAAGCTATAGGTAATACTTATGCTTCATATTCCATTTCTCGGGAAATGACATCTTCTCGGCCAGGATTAGGTCGGAAGTCTTCACTCGAACAAACCAGCTCATCCATCCTCGATCCTTGTCCTCGTCTATGCTCGAGAACAACACCTTGGTAGCCCGACGCTGAAGCCTTATTAACTCGCCTCGATAGAGACGGGGGCTGTACAACCTGATAAGATGGTCGAGGGTGAAAGACACCCCTTCTACTTTGCTCGCGAAGAATCAGAGCAGAATGACAATCCGCCATTCTTTGTTAGTATTAAGTTACATCTGGTTCGTATGTCCAGGGAAAGAATTTTTTCTTCTTTGTTAGTATTATATCAAATAAACAATTTGAACACCTTTTTTTAAAGAAGATACTGGACTAGTTTAGGTTATTTGAGAATAAAATGAGATATCCCGAGAGTTGGGTATACTAGTTGATTCGCAGAAATAAGTCATGTCCCAGGGAGTGAAAACAAGGAAAGAATTAAGTTCAACAAAATTTAACCGACTATACTGGTGCTCGTTGAGTTAATATATAGATTGGTTTTGTAACGACATAGGTAGTTGAAGAAGTCGAACGAAGTGCTCGCAGCGTCAAGTTTGATATTTCGGCACGAGTACTGTGAGTAGTAATCTTACCACAATTTATGTTTTTATAACTTGCATGGTTTATACATTATTTTGAAAATAAAATGTGTTACCGAATTTTTGAAATTACATGTGGGACAAGTCATTTACTTGATATGGTATTGAACAGTTTACTTGAGATGTTTACAGTTATTTAAAATGTTCTCACTGTTACTAGACATGTTTTATTGTTACTAGAGATATGATTACCGTCACCAAAATTGGATTACATGATTTGATAAGAATTGATATACCCTTGTACTATTTTGAAAATGCTTCCATGTGAATATTTATTGTTTACAAAGCAAAGTATGAATGGGAGGAGACTTTGAAGGATCCCGTAGCTAACGACGGGTTCGTTAGACCTGGTGCACCTTGTATTTACCGATTACCGAGTACAGTTATAACCCTCGCTAGTGGGAAGGTAGAACTAGCATACGGTTACAGTTTTCCCTCGAGTAGGGACCAACAGTTATATTTGACTCTTTTAACGAAGGAGTCCACACAGTGATACAAATTACATGATCTTTTCTTGGAAATTCTCCCAAACATAAAGATTTGCTATGAGACAGTGTTTACCGATTTTATTGCCGGTTTATTAAATTGATTTTTATTACATGAAGCACATGAATAGACTGATTATATTTACTGTTTTTAAGAGGGCATTTTATTTTTATGATGGTTATAATTAATACAAGCAAGTTTTCTGACTTGTCCCCAATTAGTTGTGGTTAAGTGTTATTACTCACTGAGCTAGCGACTCACTCCCGCTATTCTTTTTTACAGAGACATCAGTTGACGCGAGTGAGGATTTCGTTAATAGAGTACACGATTTGACAAATTTTTGGTGAGCCCCGCACTTGTTCGCGTAGGAGAAGAGTTTATTCATTTGTTATGTTCTTTTCTTTAAAACTCTTAGAGTCGCTCCATAGTCATTTTGTTAGTGTCATGAGTATTCGTTCATTATTTTAGACCTATGACTAGTATTAGACTCTCTTATAGTATTTTGGAGATGAATTTAAGATTACTGTGTTACAAGTGATTGATTAATAGTGGTGAGTAACAACTGTTTGATTAGTTGATGAAGAATATGAGATATTTTGGTTAATATAGGTTGGTTCTGTTGTTGATTTTGAGAGAGGGTAAATTTTTGGACGTCCTAAAACAGGGGAAGCTCTGCCCGATTTTCTGTAAATTCCCGTTAAGGCTTGCTTTGGGATCCTACTACTTAGCGCCGGTCAAGGCCCTAAATTGGGTCGTGACAAATTATATGCTAATGGAATTTTCTAACCAAAGTTGCACATTATGGGAAATTTCCCCCCCNNACCCCAAACACCAACACACACACAAAAAAAAATTACTATGCTAATGATGGAGAACTACGTCACTAGGTGTAACTATATGATAATAGTATATAAAAATTAGTTATCGTCAATTCTCATTAAGAGAATTCTGAGTTATTATCTCCTGATATCATAGAGAACATGTACTCTCCATGGAACTATTTTGAATATAACAAAATTCTTTCTTATTTTCTTAAACTTTCTGCCAGGTAACTATTAATTTCCCAGTACAATGAAATGTACGGAATTATTTCGTATATTTGTTCTAATTTCCATTATTTTGTATATTTTTTCTATCTCGTACGAAGCATAATATGCATGCCATATGACTAGGAGAATTAATGCTATATCAACTAGAATCTTTAATAGCAAGAAAAAGCATACATAACATTTGTATATAGGTATAACACTGATAGAAAGCTCGTGGAACAAAGCTGATAACATCAAATCAACAATGCATGATAATTATTCCCTGTGCCTCAATTTACGTGGCACAATTAAGATTTCGAGAGTTAAATCGGACATAAAACTTTTAAGTTTTTTGAAATAAAAGTTACATATTTAAAGACTACGTAAAAATTTAAAAGGCACCTAAAAAAAATATGGCTAAAGAAAACTCGTTTGACTCTCGAAATCCAAATACCATCACGTATTGACACGGAGGGATACTTTTTTTACATGTTCCTTTATAAGTAGAAATTTAAAAGAACTTCAAATGCTAATTAGAAATTATCTGTATTGATGGTTTTTCTGCAATTGCTGCCATTTACCCTTATAAGATGCTACTTAGTGGGCGTTTGGACATAAGACTTGTAAAATTCCCAAAAACAAAAGTGAAAAAAGATTTTGAGTGAAAATGGTATTTGAAAATTAGAGTTGTGTTTGGACAAGAATATAATTTTGGTTATTTTTTAAGTTTTATGAGTAATTTGAGTGAAAATTTTGAAAAACAGCTTTTTGGAGTTTTTGAAATTTTCGAAAATGTCAAAATGCATTTTCAAGTGAAAATTGAAAAATTTATGACCAAACGCTGAGTTCGAAAAAAAATTAAAAAATTTCGAAAAAAAGAAAAATTTCTTAGTCCAAACGGGCTCTTAGTATAATAGGATACCTGACCTTCTGTTAGTAATTTGTATTCAAAAATATATTCAAATATAAAAAATAAAGTAAAACCCGAAATTTAGAAGAATGGAAATTAATACAAGTCCACTGAATTTACAGTGTTTCCTTAAAGAACTTAAGTCCCTCCTAGTACCCCAGGTTTAAGATTATTTCCTCCCAGGATAGAACGGATTACCCTCGCTAGTGTAGCCGTACTTCAAACCCCAGTGACCAGCGAACTCAAAGAACAGTAGTAAATCACACTAACTGCTTTCTTTTCTGTTAAAACAATGCAGAAGGAAGAAGGAGAAATCAAAATTTTCGTAAGGAAAATCTGAGGGAGAGTTCATGTATTTATAGCCAAAATGTTGGGTAATACCGAAGAGTTGCAACTCTTCATGTAAGCTTTAACTCAAAATGTTCTCAATATCTTCTTTTTGTCTAAGAGAAAAATGGATAATTTTCCAATCAAAATATTTTCTATCGAGATTTCTTTCTGTTTTATAAAACAACCATTAATGCAAACCGCTAAATTCAAATTATAACGGAAAATTAAAACGGAGGAAAAATTAAATTACCGTTACAGAAACAGTCTAATTTGGATTAAATAATATTGCGTTAATATTAACACATAAATTTGGTCCAAAAAATTAATCAATCAACTTATTTGACCAAATCCAAAGCTGAGCGACAACGGCGCGAGGCTTGCCTTCTTCTCAACTCTTTAAGAGCTAAAAGAAATGCAATTGTATATATACCCATCAAAACTCTTTTGCTCCTCCAATATGGGACAATGTCCCTTTGTCAAAGAGAGATATTCAAAAAAAATTCATTTTCCCTCAATTTCCCATTTACTCTATTTTAAGCTCTAAGAAGCTTAAACCAAACACCTTCTGCACGCGCTTGTGCGCCGAAAACACTTACCTACACCCGGTATCTTACTATGCACTTAACCTTTCAATTTGTAAAAATGTGCGTTTTTGGTCTCTATTAACAATTTCACCACCACCAACAACGACATATCCAATGTAATCGCACAAGTGGGGTCTAGAAAGGATACGCAGACCTTATACCTATCTTAAGAAGGTAGAGAAACTGTTTTCAGTAAACCCCCGGCTCAAGGATAGATACAATCAGAAACAACAAGATAATAAGAAACCAAAGCGAATATTAACAAATTCACCAAAACTTGATATAACTGGAGAAATCAAAAGCATACATTTTGCTAAGTGAAGGTTACACACTTATATCTAATATCGTAGAGATCACAACTGGAATGTCAAATCACAAACAATTTCTTAAATTTGAATACAAACACCCGAAGCTCACAGTCCTGAGAATTTGTGCATGCTAATCCTGGAAAATCAAGCATTTTGTCACCTAGTTGAAGTTCAATCAACAACAACAGCAACAACCCAGTGAAATTCACAAGTGGTGTCTGAAAAGGATAGCGTGTACCCCTATCTTGTGAGGGTAGAGAGACTGTTTCCAATAAACCCTCGACTCAAGGAAAGATGCAAAAGGAAACAATAACGACACAAGCAGTAACCAGTTTTAGTTCAATCAGCAAACTAAATCGTACAAAATGGATAAATCAAAGTTAAAGCTGCTTCCGCAACACAACACTATTCGCATACCAGTACTAGGGAGTCGAGGCTTCATTTACACGAGTGATCATAAAAGTATCGACATACTCCCACTGCTACAACTAGTTTATTGCAAAAGTCAAGGAAACTCGGGTTCATGCCTTCATGGTCATAGCTTCATTCTCGCTCTTTCTATATATATAAAAGTTCTGTGGAAATCTTACTCTTCTCCCTCTTCATCCTCATTATCCTCGATCCCTACCCAATGAGTAAAAGCAAAAAGGAATTCTTTGAAGTTCACCATTCCATTTTTGTCCCAGTCCATTTCCTCTACAAAACAAAAAGACGGGGCTTTACAAACTGAAATATATGAGCGAGTAAATGTATAGAGTATTACCTAAACTCTTCCGACTGAATATAATAAAGCCTATAAAACATAGAACTACTATCATTTGTTCGTTATAAATTGTGATTTTCTTCGAACTTGATTTAGTTTCCTCATCAAGTCCCTCTGAGAGCAAATATCGCATTTCAATGTTCACATATATTGACCAAATCAAATTGCAAGCAAGACACAAGAATAGACGGGATTGATTGTGTATTCTGAGAAGCTCATTGTGACTCAGACAAGTATTGAACAAGTTCTCTTTGATTGCACGCTTATGAATCAGTCGACTTAACAGAAATATGTGGTTGCATCATACTTTATCTTTTCTACCATAAAGACTGCTTCACTCATAATTTTTCAGACACCACGTACATCTCGCTAAATTTATTGTTCCAAAATACTGTAGATAATCCATAGCATAGGCTGTATTTTCTAGTACGAAATTGAACAACCCGTTCATAGCGGCAAGAACTCTTTGAAAACCTAGTCTTCAGCAGAAAAAAATATTTGGTTAAAAGAACGTTTACCTAGCATGCATCAATGACTGATCTTAACCAGAAATAATAAAACATTAGTGTAGCGATGTCTCTATGGAACAGCATTTTTCAAGCTTTTCTTTCATGCCACTTGTGATCGGACTAATATAAGTGAAATCAACACATACTTATACAAATTTCGAGTCTCTACCTACGTATGTGAAAGAGCGGGAGAGAGACAAGAGAGAACTTACCAAATCTTCTCATTCCTATTCGACCAGAAGACCTTTCTCCTGATGTTGTTTCATTAATAGCTTGAATCATCTCATTCCTGCTTACATAACCATCCTTGTTCTTGTCCAAAAACACAAAAGCATCAACAAGTGTTTCAAATGTTACCTCCAGATTTGGTAGTCCCATCCGTGATTTCTGTATTTGGTCAAGGAAAAAACAACTTTGCTGGTGGGATCTGGGGTCTGACGGATTAGAAATGTAATTCCTTCCTCATGGAGGGCTACAGACTGCACAGAAGACGGAATCCATCTCCGGAGAACATGTAAGTAGATAATTAATCTCTGAATAGCACCGTGTCGCTTGAAATTAATCAAACAATAATGCACATTCTTAAAGCACCCATCAGAAAAAAGAATAAAGAACCCGCCCAACTACCCCAAATGAAAATAAGAGAGTTATTCCTATCCTTTCTTTAAAATCATTAATTAAGTTATGAATTCTCATGCAACTATATAAAAGTAAGAGACATACATTATTATATACGTAAGAGACAGGGGCAGAGCTAGAAGCCGACGTGCGGGTTCGGCAACCTTGTAGCTTTAGTGCAAACCCTGTATTTGTATTAGGAAACTCACTAAATATGTACAAAAATCAAAATTCAGAACCCAGTTACTAACACTTGATGTCACTATCCTAGAATCTAGAACTCATAAAGTTCAAATCCTAGCTCCGCCTCTGGCCTCTGGTAAGAGACAATAATATTCTTGGCACTTTGACACCAAAGCAAAGTGAGATAGCTAACACTTAGGATTTTGCAAACATCAGAACATTGATTAAACAATCATATTCTCCGGGATAGTCAACAACGACAACTATGCCTCAATCCTAAACAACTTGGGTTCGGCTATATGAGTCCTCACTCACCATGTTCCCCATTTAAATTCATCTCCGGCCCTAAAATGGATGAACTAAATAATTTACCAATTTTCTTTAATCAGATTCCAGGACACCTGAAAATGGAGAAGAAATGAAATTTAACAAATATAAATAGGTGAAGAGGATACAGCATGCAGAGCAGTAGGATCATCCTTCAAAAGATAGACAAGACAAAGAAGAACGATGAATTCGCTGAATTCTATTCCCATATCTTCATTAATATCACACGCTTCAAAGAGATCACTGATTTCTTCATCGGTAAAATTAATCTCCAGTTTACCGAAAGCGTGTTTCAACTCCTGTGGGTCAATTGCTCCATTACTATCTTCATCTACAAACAAAAGAAGACAACTCTTCTCAGATTCTTAGTGTTGTTCATTCTTTCTTCCTTGTAAAAGACGAGCGGTTTTGTAAATTTAATAAAACGACAAAGGATATGCAGCCAACCTACCAAATTCCTGGAATATAACTTTGCATTTTCGCAAGTTCTCATCGATTTTGGGAAATTTTAGGACTATACTATCAAATGATTTTACGGAACTTCCTTCAGTTTCTCTCCGCTGCATAGCTTCAGTTATTTTTGCCTCGAGTTTTGTCTCCGGAACAGAAGCCCGGGGAGATCCATTCTTACCCAATACACCTCCCATTATACGTCGAAAGTGGGAGAGCTAAACTTTTGCGCCAATTTGCTCCACAATCTGTATAAGTTTAAACATGACTCACTAGTTGTAAGAATCAAACAAATAAGGCGAAAAGATTCGAGTATCATTACGCCTAGTATCATAAAATCTTTTTAAACATTTTATTCATATAACTGATCCAAACTACTTTGGGTTAGTGTATAATTGATTGATTCATTGATACAGAAATGTCAACAAACATTTGGTATGACTATGTAACTGTCGAAGAAGCAAGTAACACAAAAAACCAAAAACGATTGACTTTAAGTTCTATGCACGGATGGTGTAAAAAATATTTACACGATCAAGATTAACTTTAAGTTCTATGCACCAATGGCGTAAAAAATATTTACATGAATGGTAACCAAGAAAAAATGTTAAGTAACAAGTTAAATTACACTGATGGTATAAAAAATCCATTACACTATCAATGTATGTAACTTAAATCCAGACGATTTATGCAGAAATCTTGATAAATTAAACTAGGGAATTGCATATTATTTTCAGTTCCAACAATAGTCATATACATCAACCAAAAACATTAAGCTAGCGTTTAGACATAGATTTGGTTCAAACTTGAAAAACGAGTTTTTGAAGTATGGTTGTATTGAAAAATAATTTTTGGAATTTGAAGTTGCTTTTGAACATGCATTTTATTTGAAAAAAAGATTGAAATTTTGTGAGTGGAAGGAAAATTTTCACCCAAAAACCGCCCTAAACCAGTTTTTGAGAACTTGAAAACTTTTTTTAATTTTTTTTTTTCAAAAACATGTTCCATGAACAAACATTGTTCAAATCTTTTTCCAAAATAAGTCCGCCAAAATCTATGACCAAACGGGTCCTAAGTTCCAAGGATTCAGTTCAAATATATATTCCCTTTATCTTCATATATGAGGCTGAATAAAAACTGAATCTTGAAATACCCCAGATCATGATATGACAATAGCCTCAAAACAAAGTGAAAAGATTTTATTTTTATTAGTTAATCATTGTTAAGGAGTTGAAATTGAATAATAAAAAGGAAAAAAAATGGGAGATTCCAAATTTTCTCTTTTTTCCTTCTGTTTCCTAACCAAGAAAACCAAAAGAATGACAAACCAAAAAAAACAGAAACATTTAAGGATGAATAAAACATGAGAATCTAACCTTAGATTCTGCTAACTGAAAAGATAAAAGCCTTCTTCTGTCTTCTTCTAAGCTGAAACAAAAAAACAACAATCAAAAGTGACAAGCACAAAAATGTTGTTTGTGCTGATTATAATACAAAAATAAGAACTTTTTTTTTTAGCTTTTTTCTGCTGGAAAAAAGAAAAAAGAAACTGAATCCAAATCACCAAATAAATGATGTTTTAAGGAAAATCTTGAAAAATTAATGGAAGAGGAGGGAGAGAAAGCAACTCTTTTGGGTGGGGGTGGGTGGGAGGGACACGTGGGGTACAGCTGAAGCTTTTTATTATTATAGTACAAAATTGTAGGTCTCTCGTGTGGGTTGGGTTTGAGTGAAAGATCTCAAACTCCTAGATTTGCGCATCACCCACCACGTACCCACCTTTTCTTCTTTCTCTTATTCATTCATTCATGTCCTCTAGAAGGAAAAAATTCATTCTATAATTTATCCAATTCAATAACCAGTAAAGTTGTTACCATGTGATCACAAACATTACGGGTTTAAGTTGTGAAAATAGCCTATTATAAAATACGGAGTAAGACAACATACAATTGACTTTTGTGATCTGACCTTTCTTCAGACTTCGCACATAACGAAAACTTATTATACCGAACTGCCTGCCCTTTATCTTTTTAGTTTATTCCTACTTTTATCATTAGCAAATTATTTTGGATTTATTTATATTATTAACTTAGCTCAAAAGTGAGATGAATGGACTACGTATGCTCAAAATATTTGAAATAACAACACCAACAAATTCATAGGAGGGTAAAGAGAATGTTGTTTTCGATAGACTCTCATTTTTGAAAAGAAGCAATGATAACAAGTATTAATAAACATCAAGATATTAAGAAAATAGAAACGAAAGATAGCAATCAATAACAGATAGTAATATCAATCTAAGAATAAAAAAAATATAATGTTACCATTAATGCTACCAACCTGAGAAAGAAAAACGAAACGCACGACTACCTACTAATCTTTCACCCTAATTTTCGATGTCCACACTCTCCTATCAAGGGTCATGTCACCGGTAAGTTCCAACTACACCATATCCTACCTAATTCGCTCTCACCGATACAAGGGGTGGCCCGACGAATTTTGGGGCCTAAAGCCAAACGTTACGAGGGGCCTTAACTTTTTAATTTTTTTATTATATTGAAGTCTATATTTTAGCTTTTCTTATATATAGAGTTATTAATAATTTTCTTATAATCAATAACTCGTGATAAGTATTTCTCAATTGATAATATAACTAATCCATTTAATCTTTCTTGTGCCATTGTTGTTCTTAGGTAAGATTTTATCAATTTGAATTTTGAAAACTTCTTTCCATTGAAGCAACGGTAACATGAGTTATTAACATTATTCCATAAGCAATTTAGGTATTTGGAAAAAAATTAAATTTTTTTATTTGATTAAGTGTATTAATTAAACTGTTATCTTCTAATTGTACTATTTTCATTAATACTTTTAGTTCAGAAAATAAATTTAAACCATCAATATCGAATTGATTATTACGTTTTAAGGAACATTCACGATTAAGGCAATATTTTTTTAAATTTCCAACATCTAGTGATCTTAGTTTTTACTGCTAAATAGAAAACGAAAAATTATTTTCATATGCTTCGAATTGTCCAAATTTATGAAGTGAAAAAATAGCCTTGTCTATTATGTATAAAAGTAATCAACTCTAAAGAACTCTTTGAAAGATTTTGAGATTTCATTATCAATATTTGTATCAAATTGTTACTTCCTATACATAACACGTTTCTTACGAAGTTCGGATTCGATAATCTTTCAAGTGCAATTTTCTTGGTAGAAAGAAATTAAACTTTTTCACTGTACAAAACTCTTCTTTAAACTTATACATAGTCTATTATGTGTAACAAAAAAAGGGGCCCCACAAATATGGGGCCTAAAGCGGTTGCTTTATTTACTTTATGAAAGGGCCGCCCCTGACCGATACTTCTTTGGCCTACCTCTATCCCTCCTTATACCCATCAAAGCCAACCTCTCACACCTCCTATAATTTTTTTGAAAAAAATATTCTAATTATAGTTTAAAGTTATTATTAGGTTAAAGCTCAGTTAGGAATCTAGAAAAAAGTCGAGATTGTTTCGCGGTAACAATATTAGACCAAAAGTAGATGGATGACAAAATTACTTAGAGCCCATTTAGCCATAACAAATTTTTCACTTTTTTCGAAATTTTTTCATTTTTTTTGGGAATCAGTTGCTTGTCTATGAAATTTTCAAATTTCACTTAGAAGTTAAATTTCAATTTTTTTTTTTTTTTGAAAACTTAAAAAACTCCAAAAAGTTATTTTTCAAAATCGTCTCTTCAAATCACTCACTTCAAATTCAAAAATAACTCTAAATTATATTCATGTCAAACATAACTCTAATTTTCAATACAATTTTCACTTAATTTTTTTTTCTTTTTTCGAAATTTTACAATTCTTATGTCCAAACGCCCACTTAATTTCAAAGGGTGATTGGGACCAATTGGAAACTTTCCCCCTGTTAGAATGTCTTGCCTTAACTAAATCGTCTACTGTCATTTTCTTAATTGATCTTGTGAAAATTTGAATTTAGATTCATTCTTATTCTTACTTATATTCAATCATAAATCTCCATGTTATATTATTCATCTTTCAAATGTTCAACTCATGACATGGGAAACATGTTAGTTCATTAAATGAAGCAAAATAATGTTTAATTCTTTATACCTTCCTTCATTGTTATAGTGCAATAATTGAAGCAAAACAAGTATAATAATACTCAAATAATAAGCTGTTACAAAACTTAGCTCAAAGTAATAATATAAAACAAAAAGATAGACAACAATGTAGAGAGAAAGAGAGAAGAGATTCTTATTTCTTCCATATATTCAAGTGTGTACAACGTGATGTCCAAACCCTCTATTTATATAATGACATTGAGGTATACAAAGGGATGTAATAAATATGGTATTAACTATTGAGATTATGGGGAAAGATCATGGGGAGGTTATGGAGGTGTGGGAGTTACAACTATAATGGTGAGAAGTAGTGGGAGTTATCTACTTAATGGAAAAGAGTAGTGGGAGTAACTTCTTAAAGAGTTATAGACATCACTACAAAATAATATTTCATAACACTCCCCCTTGGATGTCTATAGATAATGTGCCTCGTTAAAACCTTACTAAGAAAAAACCCTGTGGGAAAAAATCTTAGTGAAGGAAAAAGAGTACACATATCTTGTAATACGCATTATTTGCTGCCTCATTAAAAACCTTGCCAGAAAAAACCCAGTGGGATAAAGTCTTAGCTAAGGGAAAAAGAGTACAGCGCGTATTTGCCTCCCCTTGATGAAAACATCACTGTATTCTTCGGAGACGACGAATTCCAAGCTTGTATAGCAACTTCTCTAATATTGAGATCCGCAATGTCTTGTGAAGAAGTTTGTCAAATTATCACTTGAACAAATTTGTTGAAGAACTTTGGTGATTGTGCTTTATTTTGTCTCCTTCGATAGTCCTTCTTTCAATTGATATAAGCAAACAACATTATCTTCAGTATTATTGGAATCTTCTCTTCAAAGTCAAGTCACACGTCTGTTGTGTGTTGAGCCCCTTGCTTTATCAGTTGCTTATCTTGGCATGACTTGAATAAGTATCAACAATTAACTGCCTTGTAAAATGATAATATGGCAGTACTCTCACATGCAAATAGAATGTTTGAAGAACGAACTTCAGAAAAATGCCCACATTTGCATAACCAACAAAATCTTGGCAATATTTGTTAGAATAAACAAATCTACATCAATTATTCCTTTTGAAATATAATACTATTTGTATTCCAATATCTCCACATTGGAATAAAACTATATATTGCTAGCATATTGTTATACTCATGGTTCTAGCCAGATATATGTCACGACCCCAATCTCGGTCGTGATGGCGCCCAACGCTGATGCTAGGCAAGCCCGACCAATTAAATACTCTCAACCCAAATACGTAATCCGTTAACAAATAATACGATTAAAATAGCAAATGTCAAGGTTCCAATCCGAATCTAAATAAAATAGTACGAAAAATAATAACGAATATTCCAAACAATCCCCAATAGATCTGGAGTCACGAGTCTAGAGCCTCTAGATGTAATAGAGTAATATATATCCATAGTGATAAAGAAGTCTAGAATATGAAAAAAATAAATGATAAAGCGGAGGAGTCGGGTCCTGCGGACGTCAGGCAGCTACCTCGACAACTCCTGAAGATAAAATCCAAGAAGACAGCAAACAGCTCCACTAAGTCTCCGGAGCACCTGAATCTGCACACATGGTGCAGGGAGTAAAGTGAGTACTTCCAACTCAGTGAGTAATAAACATATATAATGGCTGAAAGTAAGAAATTCCGAAATATTACAATATAAAGCTATAATCAGCGATTCAGCACATAAAACGATGGAACAACAACAATACCAGGACAAGTAAGACAAATAGGTATAATGCATGAATGCGATGCAATGCACATGACCACTGCGGCGCGCAGCCCGATCCATTTGGGTACCCGCGCTCACTGTGGGGGTTCAGACTCCGGAGGGGCTCCTACAGCCCAAGCGCAATATCATCGTAGCATTCGCAGCGGCGTGCAGCCCGATCCACACCCAGTCCAGAATATATATATGCATGCAAGCCACTCGGGCACAGTCAAATTGTTCATTTTTAGTTTCAGTTATTAGGAACTATAGAGCTAAGTGTTTAAACCTTTATTTATTTACTAAACATTTCGAGGCAGTGTCTAACTCAGGACTGATATCATGAAATATGCGAAGCATCATGGAAGCAGTGATAAGGATCCCTGAAGGATGCAAATGATAGGCACAAAGCCCCAAACATATTCATAAAATCCAAGTAGGATGATTACCAAACAATTTCTAGTCAAGAACACAGTACGAACATCCATCGGAACGGACTAGGTCACAATCCCCAGTCACAATCGACCCCGCACTCGTCATAGAGTACGTGTCTCGCCTCAATTATAGCGTCACAATGTGATATACCGGGGTTTCAAACCCTCAGGTCATCATCTACATCTATTACTCACCTCAAGCTGGCCACAAGTCTAGCTCGCTATGCCTTTGCCTTTCGAATCAACCTCTTCGCACACTGAATCTGATTAAAACCACAGACGATACATTACAATAGGCTAAAGAAACATAACCAATCGAAACGACTCGAAAAATACCAAAATTCACTAAGTTGGCAAAACCCGAGCCCCGGGCCCACTTCTCAAAAAATTACGAAATTTATATTCACTGGATCTCGTCTCTCCACGAGTCTACACATACCAATTTTACCAAAATCGGAGTTTCAAATGCCC